CTGAAAGCTAAAGATGCCTTTTGGGCCCCCGGAGTGGCTGTTGCTTCTTTGCACAGATGTTGTACAGGGAGCTGGTGGGAACTGCAAACAGCCACTGATAATGAAGGAGTAGTGCAGCCAATAAAATGATAGGGTCAGGGTCTGCTCTCCGAGGATCATTGTGTAGTACGAGGCCCAAAGTGCATCCCTGTTGCTGGCTTTTCATATGCAGTGCTGTCCTAGTATTCCAAAGTAAGCATTCATCTGTATGATTGTCCAAGGTACTGCACATTTCTCCATAGATGTCTTTCTTGTGTTTCAGAGTCCATGTTGTATTTAGATGGAAAGAGGCATTTCAAGTCCATGAGTGCCCCAGGGACCTTGAAAAAGGACTACTCCGTGGAGCCCTAGAAAAATCTCACTTATTGCAAACCAGCACTCCCTGCATAGCGGCATGTGCCTAATAAAGTCATACTGAAAAGTATTGATTTTTGATTACTTTTCATCCTCCATAAAGGGGACTATATTCAGCTTTTAGAATGAGCCAAAAAAAAAAAAAAATACAGTTGGGCATGTTCTTTGGAGTGACATTCTTTTTGAGCCTGACTGGTTCTAGTATGTTGTTTAAAATCCCATCAGTTCTATATGATTGTTTGTTGTTGATGATGTTGTTTTCCCAGACAGGATTTCTCTAGACCTGTATGTCCTGGAACTCACTTTGTAAACCTCAAATTCACAGAGATCCACCTGCCTCTGCCTCCTGAGTGCTGGTATTAAAGTGTGCCACCACTGCCTGTCTTCTCTGTTTTTTGCATCCTCCCCAAGGTTTTATTGTTGATAGAGGGTAGATGGAAAGGAGGTTAAAGGAATTCATGAGTCTATGGCATCTGTAAATATTTATGGGAAGGTTCAAATCTAAAAATATCACAAAGAAGTATCCGGATACATGAAGAAACTCAAAACCATTTGTCCCTTCTTGAATTTAGTAGATATTCCGTGCTATGGGCTGGGCAGGTTACATCTGGTTTAAAAACAGTAACTGTTTATATGCGTCTGGAGTTATTTGTATGCTAGTCAGGCATTTGAGCTGTGTGAGATCAGTTTTTCTTTCAAGTACCATGGTAAGGCAGGATCTGTAACTCCCTGTAGGGTTAGCCACTCAGGAAACTGAAGTGCATGCAGGTTAAGTGCCTTGTTCAAGGTCTAGCAGCTCAGAAGTGGCCTGCTGGCAGTTTGAATGCAGGGTACTCTTAAGTACAGCATACATTCAAGGAATATAGCAGGTGTCACACCCTCTGGGAACTCAAAGGGAAATGTTCCGTTTCTGTTTTTCTTGCCTCCCCTATCCCCCATTCCTTAGCCTTCTCCTCGCCTCTTATTCTTTACTCTTTCTCTTCACCCGTTCTTTTTCCTTTTTGGTATCATAGATGAAACCCAGGGATTTGCATGTGTTCCATTACAGGGGTTATTGTCTATCATGCATTAAGCCCTGGGTTCATTCCCCGCACCATATAAACTGGGTATGGTGCTGCATACCTATAATCCCCCAATCCAGAGGTCGAGACAGGGGGAATCAAGTTTAAAGTCAACCTCAGCATTGTGATGCATGCCTTTAATCCGAGCACTCAGGAAGCAGAAGCAAATGGACCACTGAGTTTGAGGCCAGCTTGGTCTACATAGTGAATCGTAGAACAGCTAGGGGTACATAGTGAAACCTTGTCTCAATAATAATGATAATGATGATAAAAATAATGATTCCAACTACATAGTAAGTTGGAGGACAGTCTAGGATGAAACCCTGTCTCAAAACATATAGATGAGATCAATTTTATTTTTATTAATTTTATTTTTATTCCTTTAAAATTCATTTTCTTAACATCTGCACAGCTTTAGTTGTCACTGAAAAATCAAGCATTTTTATATTCTACCAAAGTGAAAAAAGTGCATTCTAATAACTGGCACTGATCTTTTTATTAGTCTAACAAATTCACATATGGTAGAAAGAACAAGACTAATAGAGAAACATATAACTAAAATAAACTCAGTCAGGGAGACATATTCACAAACAAATATATAAACACTAAATATTTCAAAGTATAGCCATTAAAATAATTAGATCTGCTCTAAGAGGATTTAATTACAGAAGTTTTATTTTGAGGAGCTCCAAAAATGTACACTCTGAAATACTGCTCCTAGAAACAATACTGATGTGATAAGAAGATACATTTTTTTTTGTTTAGACAAATTTCATTAGTTTCCAATTGATACTACATTATCATCAAAATCATTGCTCAAATGACACTTTTTTATGAGGAAAGGCAAATCAAAATTGAAGTGTGTGTGTGTGTGTGTGTATGTATATGTATATCTGTATATCTATCTATCTATCTATATATATACTATATATTTGTTTATTTATTACTGGGTATGTATATTTTACTATACCCAACAATAATGATATAGATAACATTAAGTATAGAAAGACTAACAATCTCATTACATTGAATTAAGAACTGACAAACCTGAGCCAAACTGGAATCCAGATGCAGAGAGGGAGAACAAGACCAGACTACAGAGACAGATGACCTGAACAAAGAGGAGCTAATGGGCCCCCATACTGATAGCTGGGAATCCAGCATGGGACTGACTCAGACCCCCTGAATATGGGTCTCAGTTAGAAACCATGGGCAGTCTAAGGGATCTCTGACAGTGGAACCAGGATGTATCCCTGGTGCACGAAAGGACTTTGGGGGCACATTCCCCATGGAGGGATACTCCCTTAACCTAGAGGCAGGAGGGAGGCCCTAGTCCCTACTCCAAATGACTTGACAGATTTAGATTACCCCTCCTGGAAGGCATCACCCTACATGTGGAGTTGGGGGGGGGAATGGGAGGGGAGGATGTTCGGGGGGCATGGAAGGGTGGGGGAGAGGTAGGAAGGGAGGGAGAGAGAACTGGGATCTATATGTAAAATAAGAAAGAAAAAAAAAAAAAAAGAACTGACAAACCTAAGGTAGATTGGCCATAGGCCATAAAGGATAAACACTACATATATGAATTCTAGCTTCTAAGTTTTATGTATGTGAATTTGTGTTGGAGTGGGTGTGTGTAGTGTTCTGAAAACTAGGAATGAGCCCATTAGAGGAGGGAAATGAAGCTTTAAGGTGGGGAGGGCACTAGAACACCTGATAGGAAAGTGGAAGGGGGGATATTGAGGTTAGGTTTAAGTAAGTGTGTGTGTGTGTAATGTGTGTATGTATGTGTTGGAGGATAAAGGGAGATGAAGGAAAGGAGGGGATGGGGTAGAGGTCAGGGAAATGAAGAAGAGGAGAGGGTGGGAGTGAAAATATGAGTAACCCTGTATACAATGTTTGTAAGCTGATTGCAATTTATTAAAATGTTAAGTAAAAGGCAGAAAGGATAAATGACTCTTAGAAAAGTTAGAAATGTCTGCTAAATGTTGATATTAATTAAACATGACCAATAGACAGAACGGTGTCTTCTGGAAGCCTCTAGCAGTCTCCATCAGGTGCTAAAGATCTAGATGGTCTCTGGAGAGTTGCTATTGTCAGGTTCATGTTGACAGGTGGAGGCTGGAATCTAATGTCTTCTGGCTTCTTCAACTTTTTCCATCTGGGATCCTGGTCAAGACTTTTCCTTCAGTCACTGTCCTACATCCTATCCTCTCTGGAAGCACTTAGCTCAAAACCAACAACAACATTTATTTTTTCTATGTTTGGCACTGGGAACCAAACCCAGGGTCTGAATGCTTTATAGTCAAGTGTGCTAATTCTGAACTAAATTCTCAACTCATTTTTTTTAAACTTTTTTGAGACAGGGTCTTGCAATGGAGCGCGGGTTGGCCATGAACTTGTAATTCTCCTGTCTCAGTTTCCTAGGTACTGGGATTACAGGCATGTGCCACCAAACCCAGCCCCTAAATACCTTACAATTTGTCTCAATACATATACAAATTAGTATCAACAGAAGGAATACTATGTGGAAATAATGTAATTATTTCAGGTTCCTTACCATAAAAATTTTTTGTAACTACTTTCTTGGAGTAAATTCCTATATTCCTATTCTTTTATTTTTTTTCTGTTTTTTTTTTTTTTTTTCTAAACCAATGACTGAATTCAGGGCACTTTACCACTAACTTATACCTATACTAACTTATATCTCTAGCACTTTTATCCTATTTTAAGTATTTTTTGTTTGTTTGTTTTCTTCAGTCTGGTCTGACTGAGACAATGTCTCATGTAGCTCTCTGGAACTTACTATATAGACCACGCTGGCCTAAAAACCACTGAGTTCTACCTGGCTCTTTATTCCATTCAAAACAAAACAACAACAAAAGAAAGAAAGAAAGAAAGAAAAACCCTCTTATCCAGCTTGTTTGAGTAGCAAGTAATTAATGAGTTGGGGTTGCAAGACTTCAAGAGGTCTAGTGCTCCCAAGGCATTTTATATTGGTAAGAAGTATCCAACTTAATTATCACTCCTGCTAACAACAGAACAACTATTAAAAGCATGATGGCTAGGTACCCTTGCTCATGACTTGAGTTTTACAGAACCACACTTATCTTCTCTGTAATCATAAGGTCCATTAATGAAGAATGCAGGTTGATGCAGTAATACTCATCTGTAAATACATTGCTCAGAAGGCTGGCAGGAGGATCTCAAGAGACCCTGTTTCAAAAAACAGCAAAACAACAAAGACATTAAGAGTGTGTTCATAAAAGGACAATTTTAAATATTTAATGATACATTCTATCACAGAAAAGAAAACTTCAAAATGCAGTTTTAGGTGTTCAAAATGGTCTACTCTGCATTACTTTGTTTACCTCTCAAAATACTTGAAAAACACTTTTCTGCAAATTACTTGGCAATGAAAACTCTGTTTATAATTCCCTGTAGCAGAGTATGTCGTCTTTCCCCCATTAAGATTAGTTAAATGCTTCAACTGCATCTTTTAAAAAGGTGATTAATTTAAGTTTTAAATACTTTATATTACTTTACCTTTCAGATGTCCTTATATTTGGAACTCTCTCCTTTTGCTGAAATGTCTGCAGGGAAGGTAGACTTTTCACCTCGCATTTTTCTTTCTTCTTCATCCAACACTCTTTGAAGCTCCAATGCAAATAGTCTATCTTGTTCTTCTTGCTGATGCTTCTCAAAATACAGATTCTCCAAATCTATCAGCCTTTTGGTAATTAAGAGTTGTGCTTCATCTTCTTCTGAGGAAGATTTGGGGGGCATTTCACAAGGAGTGCCAGGCTCACCAGCTGCTTCAGATGAAGATTCCTGATTATTTCTTTTAGAAGTATGTTTACTGCTGGAAGGGTGAGACATTTTATCTTTTGCCCCAGTTGTGTTGTTTCCAATTTCCTCTAGCATGCCTGATACAATGTGTCTACTCTCTGTTTCAGTAGAAGAGTGAGTTGTGCCTTCTTCTGATTTAATGTACTTAGGTGTGACATAAAGGTTGTCATTAGAGCAGCTTGGTTTCGATGCCTCATTTTCCAAAGTGCCCATTTTCGCATCATAGCCATAAAACAATGCATAACGTGAATTTATAGCACCTTGGTTTGGAATTTCAGCACCTCTTGACACAGTAGCTGCTTCAGCACCTCTTGACACAGTAGCTGCTAACATACTGTCTTTAGTTTTCATTCCTTGTCCTGTAGGTTTCTTCCTATCACTGTCAGTTTTCACAGATGTTTTGTTGCCATCTTTCACAGTGTCATACTGTGATGCTGACTGAAGCCAAGACTGAGTAAGAGCAAACTTTGGAACACTGTCACAATGTTTTTGTTTGCTTTTTTTCTTTCTTGGGGATGTTGCTGGTTCACCCATGCTGATTTTTTTAGCCTCTTCCTCCTCCCTTTGCCTTTGTTCTTCCAGTCTGAGCTTTTCTGCCCACATTTTTTCCTCCTCCATGTCCTGTGCCAATAACTGCCTTATGCATTCCTGAGTAGCTATGTTTTGTTTTTCCTCGGTGGCCTGGCGCTCAGCCGCCAACTTAATCATCTCCTCTTCATATTCTTTCCTCAGTTCCCCAGGATTACTTAGCACTCTAACTGGCTTATCATCACTAAGAACCAATGATGGCAGTTCCTCCCCAGGGCTCCTGCGTCTGCATTCCTCTGGATACTGAGCTTGAATTCTCTCCCACAGTTCCTTATTGATAAGACTATTTACATGAGTATGATACCGAGCCCATGAAGAGACCCAGGTGCGGCAGAAGGGGCACGATAAAAATGTTTTTCGGAGAAGTGCCTTAAAACATGACTTACACATTGTGTGGTTACAAGGCAGAGTTATAGGCTCGATGAGGAATTCCATACAAAGGAGACACTGGCAGTCTTCTAAAGACAAGGTCTTGGCTTTAGATAAGGCCATTTTAACAAATAACAAGTCCCAATTTACACCAGTACTTCCGCAGCCTAACAGGATGCTCCGTGCTCAGCGGCAACAGTAATGGCGCTGAGGGAGAGTCCACCACTTCCGCTGTGTGTTAGTGATATCCGGTTACGGCAGCCCAGAGGCCTCTGCCAGGTCTTAGGAATGTTCTAGAACGTCCTTTGTGTCTATCAGCCCCATGTGAGTACTTTTGACCAGTCTTCCTACTACATAACTGTTGTAATATATTCCTCTGAGGGAACTTGACATTTTTATATATTGTTTTATATATATGACACTAACTGATTTTGTAGTCCAGACCAGTCTGGAGCTTGTTGTGATTCTCATATCTCAGCCTTCTACATGCTGGGATTATATACATGCTGCCACCATTCCTGAGCAATAAAATTTCAGTTTGTTTAGGTTTTCCTTCAATATGCAGTCTCTGAGGATGGTGTATTACTGATTTTTCAAAAGTTCTGGTGTCTTGTGCTAGAAGGCAAGATTTATTTCAAGCATATATTGTTTTCGTTTCTTTTTTTATGGTTTCTGGAGACAGGGTTTCTCTGTGTAGCTTTAGTAGACAAGGCTGGCCTCAGACTCACAGAGATCTGCCTGTCTCTGCCTCCGGACTGCTGGGATTAAAGGCGTGTGCCACCACCATTATTACCCCACGCATATATCCACCCCCACCCCCGCCCCTGAGTGAATTCCTGCTAGTGCTATGGTGTTGAAAACCAGGAGCTAACACCAAGATATTACAAGGTAATAAATTTCCACAGCTAGGCCCCTCCTGAGAGCAGGAAAATGTAAGCAGCCATCAACCACAGCAGAGAGAAACTTATATAGGTCTTTCATGACCTTTGTAAGCAAACAGCTCAGACAAAAGCAGAACATTTTGCTGTTAGCATTTAGTGCAAATACAATGTCAGATTTTTTGAGGGCTTTGTGATTGGCCAGTTTTGGAAATCATTGTCAAGTCAACCTGGTTTTTCAGAACGTATGCAATAGGAATATGAATCTTACTATACCTAAGAAATACGAGTAAAACATCAAGATTTTGGAAACGGGTCTAGGAGCAGAATAATGAGAGGAATGGAGGCTCTGTTATTTTTTTTCAGCAGATTAAGTAAATTATTTTACCGTTATTAAAATCAATACTGAAGGTAGAAATGGGGGAATCAGCTTCTAACATTAGCTGAGCTTTATTCACAAGTTACATTGAAAAACACTGACCTGACAGCACCCTCCTTGGATATATTATAATGCATTTTAGCTTACAAAAGATCAAACTAGCACCCGCAAAACCCTTCTTCCCTGCTCTGGAGGTTTGGATCAGGATTTAAGAGCACTGGCTACTCTTTCAGAGGACAGGGTGTGATCCACTACACCCATGTGGCTGCTCAAAATTGTGTAACTTCAGTTCCAGGAGATTCAGTGCATGTACATGGTGTACAGACATTTATGCAAAACATTCATATAAAATAATAAAATTTAAAAACCCTATTTCAGCTTCTAATACAAGCTCTTGTGAACCCTATTTGATCACAGACACATTTTTTAAAATGTAAGAACATTAAGCAAACTAGGAATTTCTGTAGCTTTTAGGAAGCTTCAGATCATACTCTATATTGTAGAAAGAAAAACATTATCCAAGAAATAAGTTGCTATCTATTTACACTATAAAAATAAGTTATTAGTTTGTTTCTTTTTAAATATATTCATTTTAGTTGTAAAATTATGATACATAATTATGGGAAAAAGTTAATATTTCAATACATATGTACAATGATTAAATGAGGACAACTGGCATATCAGCCTCCTCAAAAAGTAATTCTTTCTGTGCTGGAAGCATTCAAAATCCTACTTTTTGAAACGTATGTGTCATTAATAGCTAACCTGTTATGCTGTGGGACATGAAAGTTATATCCAGCTAATCATCCCTCCTGCAAACTCCTCTTCTAAAGCTCTCATAGCTACAACACATTATGTGAATGAGATCAATTTTTTAGCTTCCACACATAAAACAGAACACATGGTATTTGTCTTTCCAGTGCCTGATTGATTTTTATTAACTTAATGTCCTCTGGTTATATGTATGTGCAAAGAATATAATTTTGTTTTGTTTCTTTACGGCCAAGTAGTATTCCAATATACATCACATTTTCCTTATCCATTCATCTGGCTCTTGTTAATAATTCTGCAAAACACATTCATAAGCAGATGTCTCTTTCAGGTACTTCTTCATTTCCTTTGGGGCGGGGAACTAGTAGTGGCATATCTCTGTGTTTTTTTGAGAAAAAATCAATGCTTTCATGAAAGCTGCAATACTCTCTATTCTAGATAATTTAAAACAAATTTAGAATAAGAGTTTATACACAGCTGACTTTTCCAAACTTTAAGGCTGTCAGTCTGTAAAAAGCAAATAAACAAAAACTCCCAGGAGTATTGTTGCTGCTGTTATTTTACAAAACATTAACTTGTAATGGTGTACTTTACCAAAATAACTGAATAATAATTTTTAGCATTATGATTCAATCATTCATTCATCTTGTGTCTAAGAAGAGAAATATGCAAAGAACTAGTTCTGGACGATGATAATGGTTAGTTTATAATGCATTCTCTTCCATATTTAAAATAGTCTTATAACATTTAAATTTGTATGTGCATGCATGTACATTAGTCTGCATATAGAGAGGACAGACAACTTGTGGGAATCAGTTCTTAACTTTCACCATATGAAACATGAACCCTGGGGGTTAAACTCAGGTCATCAGGCTTGTCAGTTAGCACCTATATCTGCCTTCCCATCTCACTGACCATTTTTTCTCTATTTTGATGAGGATAATTTGTTGCTCTATCTGCTTCAGGCCAATAGCTTAAAGCTATTTTTTTTTTGTTTGTTTGTTTGACACAGGGTCTCACTGTGTAGCTCTGGCTGTCCTGAATGAAACTCACAATGCAGACATGGCTGGTCTCAAACTTACTGAAATTCACCTGCCTTGCCTGCCAAGTGCTGGGATTAAAATTGTGCAGCACGACACTCAGCTTAAAGCTAATTTTTTTAAATTAAAAATTATTGTGTGTGACTGTATCATGGCATGTGGTGGAGGACAAAGTGTGTCTTTGTGGATGGAATCAGTTCTCCTTCCTCATTTCTGTGGATTCCAAGGACTGAACTCAGATAGTCTAGCTTGCATCTACAGGAAGCAGGTGTCTTGACAGCCCTTCAAGCTAAAATGTAATAATGCTTTCTACTTTAGCATGAAAACATTAATAAATTGTGTTGAAAACCTCACACTTGGTATATAGACCCTCCACAATGATTTGCATGTAACCAAAATGTGACAAATTTTGATTAAAAATCAGTTTATAATAATAAAATAGGAAATTTTATATATGGCTGACTGACAGATATTAGGTCTTTACTGTCCGTCAATTATTTTGCTAATAACAAAAGTGTAATGTATCATAGCACTGGAGGGATGGCTCATTGGCTGAGATCACTGGCTCCTCTTCCAGAGAACCTGAGTTTATTTCAAAACACCCTTGTTTGGTGGCTCACAACCATCTGTGACTCCAACTCAAGGGGATCTGATAGCCTCTTCTGTCTCAGAGGACACTTGCAGACATGTGTTTATATAAACACATATCCAAAAATAGTAAGTTCTTTTAAAAGGTGGGGATTTAGGGGCTTAGGAGATGGTGCAGTTAGTAAAGTGCTTGCTTGCGTGGATGAAAACCTGCTTTTGATTCCCAGTACCCTGATTTTAAAAATGCTGAAAGTGGTGGCATTTGTCTGTAAGAGGCAAAGACAGGATGATCCCTGGGGCTTTCTGGCCAGCTAGTTTAATCATTGAACTTCAGGTTCAGTGAAGAGCCTGGCTCAAAAAATAAGGTGAAGTCATAGAAGAAAACACCTGATGTTAACCTCTGTCCTTGTTGAACATACCTTCAGCCACATGCATGTACTACATATGTACACACACACACACACACACACACACACACACACACACAAAATAGGGATTTAAACAGGATGTGCTGGTACACAGCGATAATCCAAGCAATTGGGAAGCTGAAGCGGGAGGATTATAAAGTTAACAGCCTGCCCAGGCTGCATAGGGAGACTGCCTCAAAAGCAAACAATGGGGATTTTCTGTTAAGGTGGGTTTAAGTTTCTAATATTGCATGATCTTCCAAGCAGAGCAACTGACATCTTCACGATACCCATGGTGTCTGCTTGTGAAAGCTCAGTACAGCCAGGCTTGCTGACCACTGATATTTCCTAATTGAGGGGTGTGGAGGTCATGGAACCCTCACCTGAGTATCAAGCCAGCCCAGGTACATGCAAATCTGCATGACTTAACTCCAAGTGGAGTCAGGGTCTGGGTTAGGAACTATAGTATTTAGACTGGAGTTTGATTGAGAGGGGCTTCAACAGCAGCAGCCAAGGGAAAGCCTTTATGTAATCTGGGTGCAGACCTTCCAGTGAAACTACTTTTAGGGTTACCAGTGCTCCTGTTCAGAACCCCTTACTCTGTAAGTAAGCTTAATAAACTCCTTGATACCTTGGGGTGAATTTCAGTGGAATCAAACTCTGGCTTGCCATTGGACCTTATGAGGAGGAGGTAGACAATGCCTAGTCCCCCCACTCCAGGTTAAAATGCTCACAACAAAGATCTTTGACTAATTGTTTTTCTTCCTGGTGGAGCTGTTCTGTCATAGGATTATTGTGATCTAAAGGGATCAATCTGGTTCTTTGAGCCAGAAAGTGATACCATAGGCCGTTTATATGAAATGTTGGAAAGGGTGCTAGTCTAAATATTTGTGGCAATGAGATCCCTTTTGCGTCTGGCTTATCTAGTTCTGAATCATGGGTGAGGCTTAACTTCTGATCTTGTTCCCTCCACCACAAATGGAAGGCACCTTTCTTGTTCCACGCTTCTCTGATGTATCCTCTCCCTCCCAGGCTGCTTCAAACTTATGATCTATCTGCT